TTTTTGGAGTTTTAAATACAAGCATTGGCAGCATGTTTTAGGACATCGTTTTGCATTTTAAGGCATTTCTGGGATTTTTAATTTTTTAAATCTAATTTTAAGATTTTTTTCCTATAAAATAGTCTGTGAAATTGTGAACTTTTAGTGTCATTTTTGGTCAAAAAATAAAACTTTTTGACGAAAACTTTTAGTGAAATTATGTTTAAAAATTTTAAATTTTCCTGCATGTTTCTTATAAAATTAGGGCTTTTAGAGAACATTTTTGCAGATTCTTCTTAATAAAATTTTCTGTCAAAATGTGAACTGTTTGTCATTTTTGGTCATGTTAAAATTATTTTTCAAAAATGTATCTTTTCCTGCGTGTTTTTCATAAAACTAGGGCATTTAGAAAACATTTAGCAAACTTTTTTGTCAAAATGTGAACCTTTTGTGCCATTTCCGGACAAAAATGTAAAAAGTTTGACGAAAAATTTTAACATAATTATTTTTTTAAATTGTATATTTTCTTGCATGTTTCTCATAGAATTAGGGCATTTGGTGAAAGTCTTTAGAATATTTTTTCTATAAAATATTCTGTCAAAATGTGAACTTTTTGTGTCATTTTTGGTCAAAAACTAATAAAGTTTGACTAAAATCCTTTGCAAATTCGTCTTAATAAAAGTTTCTGTCAAAATGTGAACTTTTCATGTAATTTTTGGTCAAAAATTTAAACATTTTGATAAAAGTTTTTGTAAAATTATTTTTTTAAATCGTATCTTTTTTGCATGTTTCTCATTAAATTCATAGAACATTTTTAGAAAATTTTATATTAAATATATATGTATATATACTGTATATAAAGAACTAAAAGGTAACATTAAATATACAGTATATGTGTAGAGTGTGTGTGTGTATTTATATATATATATATATATATATATATAATATTTCCTTTTAGTGCTTGTTTGTCTGCTTCTGTGAAAAGAAAAACAACTATAAAAGCTGTTGTGATTTCAATAAACTCACAGCTGCACACCTTCCCTTCTTGCCCTACTACGGGCAAAAACACCATTATCATCCAGTCTTGTCCAGAACCAAGGCCAAATATTTTATGCATTATTGAATCTGTTGTAAATAAATAAAAAAGACGTGATGCGCATAATTCATTGTTTTCCTGCATGTTTCTCATAAAATTAGGGCATTTATATTATATATATTTCTATAAACACTCAGTATCTATTACTGAGTGTTATTTAAGCCAAGCACCCTTGAAAAAAAAAACACATACTGTGTTTGTTTCAATACATTATAAATACAGTTCAAATGCAATTATCTGTTCAACAACATTTTTAAAAATGTAATGTATGCAAGTATCAACTCACTCTCTTAATCAGTATCTCAACAACATTTGCACAAGCATACCAGTTTATTTGAAATATGTTGAAAAAACAATTATGCTGAATATTTGGAAATGTTGGCATACATCGGAAAGTCCATTTTAAGCCGAACTTTTTTAAATTAACAAATCTGAAGTGCAATTTCCTATACAAACAGCAGGGGAAATGTATTATTAAAAATCTACTATTTTTTTGCAAAATATTCACTGTAAGTAATTTTTCTTTTAATTCTTCATTACATATCACAATGTTCAAAAGTTTACCCAACATTGCAGGAGACAGAAGGTAAAACATCAGCACATCCCATTACACTCATTTAATTCAGTGAACGACAAGATTTTCTTTTGAACAAAACTGTCCATGCAGAACACAACAGCAAAGCACAGCACACTACGTTGCTACGAATCTGTGCATCTGTGTCTCCAACAGTCCCTTCTTTTAATTTCTTTAGGAGTTTCCTATGAAACAAGTGCAGAGATAACGTTTCCTTTCCAACGTTGCTGCCACTCGCCTCTACTGTCTGCTTTCTACCAACACATAACCCACTTTGTTTACTACTCGTGCTGCTTTCATGGCTTCTACTCCGGGTTGGAAATTTCTGAAATACAGATTAAATTAAAATTATATCCGTTTAAAGAGGGTTTTGGTGTTGGACCATCAAGCTGTTAATGATTGGCCACAACCATCATGGGTTTTGGTGTTGGACCATCAAGCTGTCAATGATTGGCCACAACCATCATTTCCCAAAGGGAACTCCAGAGGGATTTATAAGGTTCTATCTACCTATCTTTACACATTTGAGTTTGGACTGGCTCTAGTCCATAGAACAGAGTAGACCAGAATATACCAAAATAGAAGAGACTACTGTCTATTCTATAATGAAAAATAGTCTTCCATAAAGTGTATATACTGTATGTACTAGACAGTAGTTTAGATATACAGTACATATATACATACACACACCAACTTGAGTACAGAATATTAATTGATACTAAATGTCCAAAACTGCATGTTTTATTTAAAAAAAATCAGAAATTAGTGATGTCAATAAAGCCATAGAAAATAATCAACATACCACCTAAATATACTTTTTAGACAAAACCACATCTAAAGGATTTCACGTCTACTTAGTTTGGCTCTGACTGTTTTTTTTACAAAGAGTAAAACACTATTAAGAGTAAAACTTACATTCATCGTCGCTGTCTGCGGAATAATGCTGCAACACAAAGATGGATTAATAAGTAGCTATTCTTCGTGTCGAATTTAAAGGGAATGAAAGGTATGAAATGTATAAAGGCTTCTGGGTCTGGGTGTTAAGTCGTACCTCGTCTAAATCACAAAGATCATCACCTTCCATGCTGTTCATCATCTGAAAAAACAAAGGAAAATTATACATTTTTCAGCTGAGTAAAACTTCTCGATCAATGCCTTGGAGGTATTTCATCTGTGTACCTCTGAGAATTTGTCATATTTTGACATGTCCTCATCTGAGTCATCTTCCCAGTCTTTCCAGTTATTGAAGTCCAAACTCAGCCAGTTGCACTGTGAGTTGACAGAGTAAAATGAGTGTAGCAAAAAGATACTCATGCACAACACAATGCAGTGATTCCACAATGTTCATATTTATCTTGTGTGGTCCTAAAAATGTATAATTACTTCGATATTATAGAAGTTTCTGTTTGAGATTTACTTAAGGAATTAGATTTACTTAATCAACAAAACTACATTTGGACAAGCACATCTTGTTTAAAAAAACAAACAAAACAACAATGATTAATTAATTTAAAAAGTCATACTTTTGTCTTGTCTTTGGTGAGCCGTGGCCACGCTCTCCCGGTCTCTGCTTTTCGTAAACAACACAACACAGACCTGTCAGTGCGTCTGTGTTTGGATTTCTGCCAAGAGAGAGAGAAGGTATCAAGGTTTTCAGTGAATACAAGAGACTGAGCGTGAATAACAATGAGGACTTGGGGAAAAAACATACGATGGGATCGATCTCCCCGAAGAGGTCCACAGAATTCTCGTGTTTGATGTTCTCTGTTCCACTGACACAGCTGTAAAAAAAATGATTCAAATCAGAAACTTTTTTTTTGTATAAACTAAACCAAAGATCATGGTATCTCAAAGAAACTCAAATCACTGTTACATCTTATTAAACACACTAAAAAGATATTTTTTAATTTTAGGAATGTGAGATTTGTTTATATTTATCTCAAAGAATGGAAAAAGTTTCATATTTGTAAGGGTGTTCCTTTTTATTTCAGTTTTAAGATAGTAAGACTTACACAAAATCCATTTTTGCCTTGTCAAAGTTCACGTGCACATCTTTGCTGTCCTCCACACAGAACTCTACAAATACACAGTCTCTCCTGTCGTACCACTTGGCTGCAGCGTGATTCCTATTAGCAACAATGGAAGAGATGAGTCAAAATTAAACTGTCTGTGGATTAATGCTGTCACAGGAATGTCTTGTAGAAAGCATATCAAATAAGATATGAAGGTGGGAGGGGGAGGGAGGCTTTTCGTGGGCTGGCTCCTATTATCCATTATGCATTCTTTACGTACAATTTAAGTTATTTTGGCTATTTTTGAATTGGTTGCCAACATTTAGACATTCTGGAAACAATTAGTTAATAATGACCATTAACTTTTTTTAAATTATATTTTGTCTTTTTTATGATAAAAGCTTCATAAGTTCGTTGATTATATTAAACCACCAACTAAACAAAGGCATTTATCACAGATGTAAGGAACTAAATTCTAGTCTGTTGGTCATTCCTGAACATTTCTGAAAGAGACATAAGAGGAAAATAATTTTGGCTACTTTTTTATAACAATCTAATTTCATATTTTTTCCCCCCAATATTTTGTGTCATACTTCCTTTAACATGAGGATGACTTTCAATGACACTGCTTTCAAGAACCAAAGTCTCCAGTTTTGCTTTGGCTTCAAATGCCATTTACAAACACAGTTTTCACCACTGAGATCACACCTATTATTATTAATATAAGAAAAATAACTGTCATCACGGGTTCATTTCAATGTGACTCGGGATTTAGTTAATTACTCAGACAGTCCCATTTGGTCAGAGTGACAGTGGGTTCATTTTCATTAGCAGGATTGGCTGTTGCGGTTACAGAGTGAGGTTCATCTGAGGACACGTCTAAATTATGACGACGTCAACCTTGTCGATTCATCCCAGACTGAGTCGTAGACTGAGGGCCTTTGTTTATGCTTTAGACATAAAGAAATATGCTTTTCAGTAACAGTACCACACCATTTTAAATTCGCCTTATTTGAACTGTCCACGTTAATGTTATGCGCCAAAATACTACTGTCAAGGCTTAAGAGACAAAAAAAAGCTACTACATCGTTTTTTTTATCTAACAGGGGGGGAAAGTTTTGTCAGGTCAGCGTGTGTTGCTAAATCCGTTTCGGCTACGTTAAGTTGCTGTGTGTACTTTCCCAGCTAATCATGACACCATGCTTTTAATGCTAACATAACACTGCACTGTCAGGTGGATTTAGCAGCAACAACGAGCTCACGAGAAGGACATATACAAAATCAGCGAGGGGTAAATGTGTTGTGCTGTCGCCACATTTAAATCATGGCCAATGAATGGCTTTGGTTTTATTTTGTGCTGGCGCCTTCTGTACAGCGTGATTCCCCTGTAGCAAACGCGTGTTAGCAAAGTTAGCCCATAGCATGCTGCTGCATTATTAGTTATCTCTATTCGTTATTGTATCACTTCAACAAATATAGAAACACGGCACTTACATGTTCACTGGTTCAAAGACAAACCCTTTCCTCTAAACAGGGGGTAAAACAGTTTCTGAGCGGCTGGAACTTGAAAATTGCAGCAAAATCCACATTAATACCAACAGTACTGGTTAACTGAGGGTTTCAACCATTTGATCCAAGTATCGCGAGACTTCATCGTTATCCCGTGACGCGCGGTTTCGTCCGCCTTCAGATGACAGACGTACGGGTACAGACGTAATTCATCTTCTGGATGTCGTTTAATTATAATAGTGATGTGAATGTCATACAGAGGAGGACAATATTTTTTATACCTAATTCATCCCTTGTAGTTAAACGCCTATTTTTAATAAAACAAACGCAGGTACTGTATTTACATGTGTATATATTGACACAGACATATGTTTATGTGAACCATAAATGTAAATGATGTATTTCATATTTTGTATATACCTACAATGCCGTTTTTGAGTGGTGTATTCTTACAGTTTCAGTCCCCAAAGATGATGAGATTTACCAGATCACTTAGTGTATAACTGACCAACGTCTCTATAACATCCATATCTAACAATTCTGGCTTTTGAACATAAAATATTTGTAAGTATAGATACCTGCACTACCTTACAAAAAACGTAGACACATCACCCTGCTCTAAGGTATACACAAGAGTATTTGTTGGTACAAAATATACCTTTTTTTTAAAATCAAGCATTAGACATTTTTCTTAAAAGAAAGAGCCAGACCACAGTCAGGACAGTCAAGCACAGGCACTCTATACTAACAACATTACAACAATACAAATTATTTTTATAGTTAAAGAATACAAATGCATAAGAATATTTAGCTGCTAATATTATGTTATTAAATTATTATATTGACAATTCTAGTTTGTCACTATTATTTTTCTATTTGATATAACATTATTACAAAATGTCACTTAGTCCTGGTCACATAAACATCCACCATTTACCATTAAAGGCCATGCAGAAGTGTAGTTTATATACAGATATAAACTTTAAAGATGTGCTATCTGTGCTTTGAATTTCAGTGTTCTATACGCCTACTGCGGATAGTACAGATGAACTGCGTCTGTACAACTCTGTCAGTGTTTATAAATAAACCAAATGAGATAATATGGATCATAAAATGCCAAGAGCTCATAAAATCCAAATTTATTGTAGCTTTTATTCTGTGTAATAAGTGCATCATGATGATAGGCATACAACTCAGAAACACACTCATTTACATTTTGCATCATAAAGCACAAACTTGAGAGGAATGAATGTGGTGGTCTGGGAGGCATCTACCAAGTCTCTTTGGTTTGTTAATCAAGACCTGCAAAAACAAATACAGAATCTATCCGCTGAGGTGAAGTGAAATCCCAGGCACAAAACAGCTCAATAATTACTGAAAAGAACATGGGTCTGAAGTTAAAAAGATGGACTTTTTTGCATAAACCCACTGTAATGGTACCGGGTAGATTTTTGTAATGATGACCAGCATAAACAGTATTAATAATCAAAACACGCAGCACTGTTTAATCTTAATGTGCTCTGTGAATTGCTTTACTTCCTCATTCATATTGTGTGAGATATATTTTCACGACACTGACATTTTTATGTACAAATTTTACCTATGACTCCTATGTAAATGATGACCCTTGTTTCCTGGAGCATTATCTCGCCTTAACATACCAGTGTGCAGGACACTGATTATGCAGTGCCAGAATTGTCTCTCATTCAATTTTTATCACAATTGCTGGTTTAGCACATTTAACAAGAGCTTGACAAACATTTCAACACCCTCGCTTCCATAAATATACATATTTATTGGAATCTATATAAATCTGCCAGTCTGACTGTCTCTAAAAAATATAATCTGATCTTTGAAAAATGAAGACCTTAATCTAACTGATGAAAAAGCATAAACAAGTAGGACTACATATAACATACAACATAAAAAACCCCTGTTGTTACTATAGGAACAGCGTAACAATGTTGTTTCATGACCAATCTTGTCTGTCTCCCAATGAGAAAATGAAATAATAGTAAAAGCAGAGGAAAGCATGGCATCATCATCTGATGAGTAGTAAATGATCGCTGTGGATGGAGCCATAAATGACACAAGATGATTGCCTGTGCAGGATAACAATACATGGCTGCTTCTTCAGGAGTGGAAAGGATTATGTGAGTCAGATGGAAATGACACTTAAGCAGTTGCAGACAAAGAGCAGAGAGGAGTATACGCTGTGTGAATACTTTTCTATCCAGTACTGATCACTAAGTGTTGGACATGTGTCTGTTTAAAAAAAGACAGGAGGGGTTATATACCGCAGATGCCGAACAAGAGCCAGATGGTCTATAACTAGGAGGTTTTGTTAGTCATGAAAGTATTCTGAAAAACCACACAAAACTGCCCAGACATACTGTTAATCATTTTTTGTGTATGTGAAGACAAGGGTGTTAAGGCCAGCATGCTACATGGAGATTTTTCAAAGAAAATTAAAACCTAAGGAAGAGTATCTTAAAGTGCCCTGTTAGAGAAAATAAAAAATATCTATTACATATCTAAACAGTGTTTAGCATATATAGGATTTCAAGAATATTTTTTAAGGTGATGCAACAGAATAAAATAAAAGAAGTGGACTAAAGTAGACTGAGGACTTATGGCGTGTTGGTTCAAGTTCTGACTATTTAAGGTTCACGTCACTATTTCATAAAATTTTCTACAGAAAAATACAGTAATGAGTTAAGTTGGCAAGTAAATCATAAAAGCTTTGTAATGGACCGGGACTGGTGTGAACACTTGGTTAAGGCTAGTCTACCTGATTATCTTAAAGATAAAGGTGAGTCATACTAAATATCAGTTATTTTGTTAATCAGCTACTATGGGACTTTCCATGAAATCCATTACAATATTTCATAACCTCTTTGTAAAGCAAGATGATTCGTTGCTTAAGCATTGTTTTTTTGTTTTTTCTCAATAAAGTTTTAAGGTTTTTAAAAGGTTCAACATGTGACACCATTCCCTCTAAATAGCAGGGAAACAAGGCTGTGATGATGTCAGCTGGAGACAGAACTCTGGAGCAGCTCCACATGTGATGAATAATGGAACAGCCCCTCAGACACTGTATGACCGCAACCCTGGGAGCTTTACCAGGATATGACTTCATAATTTGATTCACAGCTAGATGCCCTACATTCACATATAACTCCTTTAACACAATATCCACAGCCAGACCTACAAACATCAGTCATTGTTTTAGCATTAAATGATGACAGTGATTCCACCCAGATGGGTGTGTGTATATACTGAGGTTTGGTGTGTGTGGAAATGCTAACACTTTTGCAGGCTAAAAGCTCAAGGAGATATTATGAAAAACTATACAAGACATGTTCCGATATTAATTTAGCCGAGATAATTAAACAGCTTTCAATGAGATATGGCCCACTGTCACATCCACTGGTCCTAGATCTAATCAAAAGTCTAAAACAGACTGATATCATGCCTTGTTTTTAGTGATAGCTCTGCTGAGGCATTGCACTGACTGCAGGTTGTAAATAGACTTTTTTAACCATTCTCTTGGGTCAGCAATGTATTTGTACTGTAGCTGAATGAGCAAAGCTTCAAATAACAAACAGAAATCCTGCTTGAAACCTGCCATTTTAAAACAGGATGCCAATTTGCCTGCAACCATGTTTCTATTTGACTGTGAGATTAGTCATGCCTTGTGTCAACACATATTTGCTATTTCCGGAAGGGGTTTGTTTTTAATTCTCTCTCTCTTTCTCAATAGAACATTATGTTAAATGTGTAAATTATATTCCATAAAAACGGTGGTTTTGCCAGGTAGGTTTTACAGTGCCATCTATTGACTACTGGGCTTAAAACAAGAAATAACAAATTAACTCACAAATGAGGCTACAAACTAGTCTATATTTGCCCACACACACATTGCTCTGCAATATACGTAGCTCTATCATACAACGTCTGTTCGAAAAGCGTTCGTTATTGTTAATTATAATTTCACATATACAGTATTTTCATATTAATCATCTGCAATTAGTCATGTTAGACCTGTACTGCAAGCACATCACTTCCGAAACAGATTGAGCACTTCCGGTGTTTTCCACAACATTACTTTCACAGAGGCAACGTTTTTTTATGGCTATTTGCTCCTATGGTTTTTCGCTGTAAGATTCTTATGCCATTTAATATATACATACTGTATTTCTACGCGCAGCAAGAGGTGTTTGATAGAAAAACAAAACGATGGGGGGTGGGGAGGGACACAGGTTCCCACTTGTTGCCTTTCAAAATAAACTACTAATCATAGCGACGTGTGATTAAGTCAATTTTTTTTAAATTGATACTTAGAACAATTTGAACATTCAAGCGGTGGATCCACGAACACACGGCGAAGATAAATAAATAAATACATACCTTTGTCCAGCCAATCGTGTTGGCTCAGTGACGAACTTCCTGGTCACATTTTCTTGTGTCCCAGTCCTCTTCTCTTTATTGATGCTTCTGTACAGCTGCACTCCGGGAGGACGGAGACCGAGAGCTGAGGCACTGACTGGAAATGAGAGGAAGAAACAACTTTAGTGTGGGCACACAGCTGTCACACACGGGAGACTCCAGATAAAGAAAAGGAGCGAGCGATGTTTTTTACACCGCCGTGGCGTTGTGTTTAGCCCAAGGACGTACGAGGAAAGCAAACACGTCCCAGACTTGGAGAAAGAGGAGCGGGATTTACAGGGGCTGATGTCGCCCGGGCTGAAAGCCCAAGTCATATGAACTGCAAGAGGCGTCTTTTTGTTATGCCTTGATTAGAACATTATAACGATCGGCTCGTGAGAAATAAAGGCCTCCTTCTGCTCCTCCACCAGCACTTCCTCCTCTGATGGGGCACTGTGCTCCGCTTTAATCCAGTCCCGGAAACCTCCCTGACAGGCGGCAGCAGCAGCGACGAGCTACGGCACAAGGGTGAGGCATCAAAGTGGTAAAGAGATGATAAAAGCAGTTTAATGTTTCACCACAGGAATAAAAGGCGATGTTGGTAAATGGCTGTTGCTGCTGCGGAGCATGGCTGAGTGTTGGCCGTGGTCGAGCTGAACACATAACGTTTGTTTATTCCACTCCATTAACGTTCTCGCTTTCTTTTTCAACAGGACGCCTATTCGAATTTGAAGGGATTTATGGGATCGCAAGGTAAAAAGAAGTCCTTAACTCTGGTGTTTTTTTAAAAATGATTCTGTCATTCCGATCTCGATTTTTTTTTTACTTCAGTCAGTGACAGAGCTGACAGTTCCCTTTGTTTACAGTGTGAATTAGTGAACAGCTGATAACGTCCTCAGAACTCGAGAGACTGCGCTGTGTGTGTGTGTGTGTGACGCTATGCAGCCTTTACTTTCACTGTAGACATACGAGATTTGTTTTGTGTTGCACAGATGTGCGCACCCGACAAAATAGCTAAAACAGATGCCATGTTGTTTATTTATCCCTTTCTTCTGTGCCTGCATAGATAACACTGAAATCGCCCACACGGAACCAGTTAATAGTTTTTTACTAACATCTGCTTCAATTAGTTTCCCTTTCTTTTTCAGACATTAGTTTCTATATTATTGTCACAGTTGGAATGCACCACACAGAAGGATGGCAAGACAAAAAGTCCAAAATATAACTAGGGCTCAAAGACTGCCTGACAGTTAAAGATTGATGGATCTGACAAGGGCACCCTGACAGAAGAACAATAGTCATGGATATGGAGCAGTTTTTTTTAATGTAATCTTTGTATTTTTAATGGTAGTTGGCGTTGTTGCCATATTTGTCTTCCTTGTGGTTTCACATCACTTGGCATTCTTTTGTTGCATCACTGACATCTTATAGTCATGTTGATGTCTTTAAAACCGTATGTGCAAGTCACATCCAGAAAACTGTCGGCAGACCAGGTGTCTGGGTGTACCTACACTGTACCCAAACCTGTCTGTTTTTGGGATGTGGGAGGAAACAGGAGGGATTTGGGATAACCTAAACACACAATGAGAACATCCAAACTCTGTACAGAAAGACTAGGGATTGAACCAGTGAGATTCTTACTGTACAACAGGCCCCCTCTCCAGATCTGCCCTGTAACAGGTCAATATAAGTAAATATGTTTCTTTTTGGGCCTTTTTCTATTTATTTTATTTTGTCTTCTTACCTTCAGCTGCCACTTGAGACTTTTGATAAGGCTTCAGATCTTCCTCATTCTGTCAACTCATCCTCCGAGTTGCATGACGTCCAATATTTCCTCTTCTCCCCTCTGTGTTCGCAGCAGTTGGCCTCCCCTCATCACAATTTCTCAGCCAGAGCTACCTTAACAGAAATGTTCAAACTATTCTTAATATTTTTCTACAACTATCTCATGTACATGTGCTTTTTAGGAGGAGAAAAAAAAAGAAAAGATAATTGAATGCCATCTTTAAATCTACAGAACGCTAGAGTTTTGGGAATTTTACATCATGCAGGTTCATTGTTTCCAAATCATTCACTTATTACAGATGTAAGTGAGTGATAGTCACTTGATTAATCAATGTGTTTGCTGCTACATCCTGTTTGGGGTTGTGTAAACAAGACAAATGTGACTTGCTGTATTGGGTGTCAATATGAGTAACTAAAAAAATCTTTTAATCTCAGGGGAAAGTTGACCAGTTTGGATATACAGGACAGGGCATTCTTAACATTATCCATTTTATACTCTTGATGTCAATTTTAAGAATCTTATCTTAGATTAACTAAAAAATAAGATTATGCTCAGTTCGTCATAGTGTACATGGTCACTGTACTATGACCTAGTATAAAGAAGAGGCAGCTTATTATGGGCTACGTTTACTATCTCTCACATACACTCTGAGGGAGGGACACAATAATGGCTCGAAGTCCCAACAGAAACAGTGTAGTAATGTCACATTACACCCCGCTGAACAGGGATCTCTCAGAAAACTATTTAACTAAAAAACTACAATAATGTTTTTTCTTATCATCTTTTTAACAGAAAACAAAAAAAATTATTGTGTCTGTCTGAGGATTTTTTTTAATGAACAGAATATGACAATTGTTTTGGTATTCATTAAAGTTAGAATTTTATTAACAGATGTGCCAGCAACTTTCAGAAATATAGTATGTAGTGGCACAAACAAGAGGCAACTGTGAGACAGTTGGTCCAATAGCAGCCTTGCTGCAGGCAGAACACCCGTTTGCACTATATCATTATTTTTTTACTTTTAACAATTTTATTTTTATTTAATATTTGAAGACCCTGAACTATACTAGACAACACAGTTTTTGTTGCCCCTGAAGTGAACAACAACTGTTGCTGTAGACTTCAAACTGATCTCAGGTGGCATTGGTTCTATGACACAGAAACAAGCCATTGAGCACATTCTCAAATGTGTGAATATGTAACAAAAACAATCTCACGTCATATTTTATAGTAAGCTTTACATTCAGTTGGTATCCTTGAAATTTAATTACAGAGCATCGCAAATGTACAATATTTGTGCCCCCGCACTTAATATTTTATTCCTGCATCACACGGGTAGAGGTAGTGCTTCATGGCAGTTTGAATCCATACTGTTGGATGACTTCACACAGTCTCTAACTTTAAGGGATTAAAAGCCCCTTTCTTCTGTAGCGCTTTAGTCATTTGGAATTTTTAATCACAAGCACTGTTCTTGTTTCAAAGCTGTTAAAAGCCCTGTCTGAAAACGTGTGTGTCTCTGTGCAGTTTCCTCTGATGAAATGAGTGTGCGTGCTGGCCAGGGCAGTGATGAAGTGCTGGTTTCACAGGCAGTGTGGGATTACCTGGCTGCAGCTGGGCGGCCCTGGCTCATTGACTTCGAGCACAAGCAGGGGATGAGCGCTGGTATCATTAGGCGAGGAGAGAGGGGAGGCTGCTGTGCTGTGAGGCTACAGCCGGTAGAAAGCTTCAGGACTGCTGGTGCCGCGGTGATGGATGGAACCATCTCCAGCGAGACACGAAAAGCCTTCATTGACTTATGCCGCTGTGCCCGCAAAGAAATGAGGAAAAGGGTCCTGTTGCCCTGTACGGGAGCTCCAGATGCTAATGAGGAGGGCAGCATGCTTCAGTCCCAACCTCCCCAGCCTCGGCGCTCCCAGAGGTTCAGGAAACCTGCTGATGAGGAGGCTTGTGCCGTGCTTCATGAAGCAGCCCAGAAGAAAGACTTGGAGTCTGGCCTTGCTTCCCGCAGCGAGGGACAGGACAACAGCACTTGTTCAGTCTGCATGGGGGACATTGTGGAGAGGGCAACCTTGGAGAAGTGTGGCCATTCATTTTGTCGCACCTGTCTGGATCAAGCCTTTAAGGTGAAGAAAGCGTGTCCAATGTGCAGGCTGGTGTATGGCCAGATGATCGGAAACCAGCCGGCCTATGGTACGATGGTGGTAGAGAGAGATCCTGATCTGGAAATTCCAGGACATGAAGGCTATGGATGCATCTATATTATCTACCACTTCCCTCCAGGCTTACAGACGGTGAGCATATCAACAGCACAGCACACACCTATTTTAGATTTTAGATTTGTCAACGTTGCACATTCTTTCCAATAGTATAACATACAGCTCTAACAGATTTTTTTTAATGCAGGGTGACTATTGCTGATATTTTTACAGTAATATTAGATCATGAATGTATTTGATATTTTTTCTTGGTATCTATTACAATACTAAAAAGTTAATTTGAGTCTTTCAGGTCAAAGCTAGCTGAGGCAACTAGCTCATGACTAACTGCATAACTAACTATTCTTCGTCACTACATGTTTTGTAATCACTGTATGTTGCAACTGTTGTCTTAGTGACTCTCTTGCTGACCTCTATGGTAATGTAATGTTTCCATAGCGATGATGACTGTTTTCAGAATGTACCAACCACTATGCTACATGTCTGCTTCTATTACAGTACTTCCAGATTCTTCCATGTACCCTGGGGATTCCCAGGGTACATGGAATCAGTGAGAATGCTAGTTTATTGTACATGACCCATAATATAATTGGACTCTGCACCACATTATCAGGGTGTGTTCGTCCATGTTTTACTCTTTCATTTCAGTTGGGTCACAGGGCGTAGAGACAGAAACCCACCTCTACAAAATGTGACATCACATTAGCTGTGTCAGTTAGCGTCAACATACAACAATGTTTAATGTCTGTTTTATTTATTTTTTGTATAGCTATATATTTGGTTTGTTTTTTACAATATCCTATTTAAACATGTGTTTTTGTTAGAGAGAGCAAAAAACATGCTACAAAACATTAGCTCCAATCTGACTAGCTTTAGCTCGCTTGATTCTGTGTTCTGTTTCTGGAAAAACTCTGTTGAAAGAGCAGGTTTACCAAACATTTCACTTCAGGGAATTCATTAAAAAACTCAGGTTGTAACCAGACATGGTCAATTATTGGGTTATCTCTAAATGTCCTGTTAATGTAGTAGGAAGACTGACTGACGGACCCTTCATGTTTGTATAAATTTGACCTGCATTAGTTTGACTGAAAATGGCTTACATCGAGTTGACAGAAAACATGTATCAATTGAAGTGTAATAAAAATACAAATGAAAAAAAAAACCCAGAATAATTAATGCCAATAGTTAAAAAAATACTAAAAAGTTACCCTATTATTATTAGATATATATTGCATGTACTATATACATATATACATAATAAATCCTTCGGTTGCACTGTGAAATGACTTCAGCAAAAGGTCAGACCATGGAGGGAGTGAGGTGTTGTTCCACTGCTGTTTCATTGAGCCCTTTACCTTCATGTGATACTTGGGTGATTTATTACTGTACTTTTATGACCTTACGTGTCTTTTTCACTCTGAAAATCCTGGTTCGCACCATCCTGATAATAAATCACAAGTACCTTTTTTTCTGTAGTCACTGCGCAGTATATGTAAATACCTTTCTACCGTCTTATGCCCAGTGTAAATAGAGGCTCATACCAAGGTGAAACACAATAGGGTCACCTGTTTATTGGTGAAAATCACTTTGGATTGTGTGTATTACCCAGTACTTTAGATGCCCCCAGACTGTACTTGGTCGTAATGTGTTCATTCCTGGATTCAAGGTCTGCTTTGTTTGTATCCATAAAAATACTCTCCTCGCAGAGAAGTTGAGGAAACACTTAAACAACCACCAAACAAAGACACCACAGTTTTATTCTAATGAATTCTGGTTGTTCTACTTCACTGTCCACAGCCTGAGCACCCAAACCCTGGTGTCCGGTATCCAGGAACAGACCGCGTGGCCTACCTCCCTGACAGTCCTGAGGGGAACCGCGTGCTGGGCCTGCTGCGCCGGGCCTTTGAACAGCGCCTTATCTTCACCATTGGTACCTCCATGACTACGGGCATGCAAAATGTCATCACCTGGAATGACATTCACCACAAGACCTCAATATGGGGAGGGCCGTGCTGGTAAGTGTGAAATGTACTGCTCTGAGGATTGGGTAGTGGCTGAAACAGCTATGGTCAGAGCACATTATAGGTAGGGCTGAATCATTACCAGCTACAATTCTTTAGCTATGGTTACAATAAATATGCAATGAGGTGGAAGGCAGGGTTGTGTAGGTTTCACAGCTCAGTGGGTAAAAGGCTGAGGACACAAAGCAGGAATCACTTCCAGTCTGTTTTGATTCTTATTAAAAACAAAAGGAAAACAAACATTTCTGTAGTAAAGAAAAAGCGACACTTTTTCCAAACTGACACTGTCGAAATAGATAATTATATTAATTAAACTAATAATAAAAAAATTGCAAATAAGTATAAATAAGACTACATATCCTGTATTGATAAAAAAAAGTGAACAGAAAGTGAGCAGAGCAGATATTAGAAGTATCAGGCACAGTACTATTATTATTATTGGCAAATAACTCTGGTGTTTTGGTCCCATGGATGCCCTAGGGTTAGTGTGTTTCTTTAAACTTGTATTAATCAAATGCAGATAAACCTGTTTGGGATTTTCTGCCTTTTCAACTTACCAGGCACTCTATTGACATTTTTTCAATGTTATTGTCATTCATTTTAATGAGGACAGCCAGGAAATTGGAGTATATACAGGGTTCAAACAAAAATGTAAAAACGTTTGGTTGAAAACGAAGGATTTACATAGTAGTAGTGGAAAAGAGGATTGAAAATGCTCTGGTAAAGACTGATGGATGTGATTCAAGTAAATGGCAAGAAAAAACTGTTACCTGATGTTGTTGGACTAGTGCTACTCTGGCTGTCTGTGCTCATGGAGATGTAGTGACGACCGGGGTCATTTCTCCTGACAGTTTTGGCTACCCAGATCCCACCTACCTGGTACGAGTGACGGAGGAGCTCAGAGAGAAAGGCATCACAGCTGACTGACTGACTGCATGGGAATGACAGACTCTTCCTGGACTCTGTGCGTCTTTGAGTGTCCTTGTCCTTGTGGTGGACATGACTTGGCTCCAGGTTGCGCTTTGAGACCGCCCGTCCATCACAAGGATGACTGAAGACAAGGCCCTGGGCAGACGAGTGTCTCGATGCTGCGGCACAGTCCACATCACTCCAATAGCAAATGCTCCCCCTCTCTCCCTCTCTCCCTCTCTCTCTTTTCACTTTCCTCTGGGTTCGGCGGAGCCCACTGCTACACGTGGAAGAAAATACTTTTGAGTGCAGTGCATTCTTGTATCACACAATCCTCCGTCACCTTTTTTGCAATAGGACTGATTTCTGATGCACTTATTTAAGAGCATTGTGGGATGTCGGATGTCATACTTGTTTAGAACATCTTGAGTTGAACATTATCAGACATGTTTATGTTCCATAAATGTTTCTCCTCTGGGGATGATCACTTTACATCTTATAAGCACATATTCTTCGTTTTCATCTCCCTGTTCGTTAAGTTTAGGCCTCTTTAAGTTTATTGTTACTAATTACTTGTAAGGATTAGCAGAAAAAAAAAGAGCTGCTAGGATGAGATTTTTTTTTCTGCAGTTGTTGAAATCTAAGGCACTCGTGGAGCACTTTGGTCGGGCAGCGTGTTCTGGGTGAAGTGGGTTGTTGGCTTCATGTCATGTGGAAGAGTGCTCTGAGCAAACAGGTAAACGCAGCCTAATCGGCTAACTGCTTGGTGGCTACACATTGATGTCAGTTGCTTGAAACTCTTCATTTTGGTGGGATCTGCAGCCCCCTCACTCCCCCAACCCCTCCTCCTTTACTGGTACTCAAATTGAACCAAGTTTTCTCATTGTAGCACCTTTTACTACACCTGTCACAACTGCCACCTTTGGCATTGGTCACATCTGTTTTCTCGATGTCTCCCAAATGGTGAATCGTTAGCAACGAGCTCATCTAATTACCAGATTTAAGACGATGTCAAATGTCAAGGGCATACAGACCACTCACACCAAAACAAAAGGCACAAAAAGCTCTTTAAAGTATATATGCCTCTGTCCCTGTCACACTGGGAAATGTATGTGCTAATGTTCTCATTCCAAATGAGCTAGCTGTATTTGATTAGCTGATCTGAGTAGATAACTTTGATTAGACCGACAAAACAACATTGCTGGATTTCCAATTGGTTAGATATAAGAATGAATAGGATAATAATTTTGTTGTGCCTTTCTCATATTCACTTTTGATAGAAACAAAAGACAGAAATAAATAAGCATGATATTACTGATGACTGGTACGCAGTTCGGGCACATTTTTTGGTGTTATTTGATAGGTTAACAGCAGTATGTTTGTAGCTGTACTATCTGGCTTTAAGTACCAACACCGTTGAAGAATATGTATACTGATGTGTATGAAAAGAGCTTCTCCTTCATGAACCGTTCTCTGAACACACTCCTCGGACAGATATAGCTGTAAATGTGAAAGTGCTTTGTTACAGTACAGTAACCTGCTTAAGTAGACGAAAAAAATCAATTATTTGACTTTTTTTTTTTACATCCATAAATCGACCGTCCTTTCTGTATGCTCTCATCACTTTTGTATTTTAGTTAAGGGACCAACAGAGATTTTTTTTTTTGGACATAGGATTGTAGTTCACTAAATCTACTGTGCAAACATTTCTATGCATTACATGATTGGAGGAGCAGCCAAGAGAATGGATAGCTGTGAGATACCAATTGATTGTTGAAGGCGAGGAAAAAAAAGTTGGGAGTTTTGCTTTTCTATTTGTGTTTATTCGTACTTTGTTGATATTCAGAATAATGTGCTTTACATTTTAATACTTGAATAAAAAGTTATGTTTGGGTTTGTGTTGGATGTTCAGTACAGGCTCTAGGTTGACCTGCAGGTGAAACGCTGTTCGGAGTTCACATCTTGAAGAGAAATCAAAGGAAAAGTCAAAAAACAAAACAAAAAACCCCCCCAAAAAACAGTATGTTCTGACAAGTACTATTTACTGCAACTTCATCTTTGTTCCTCAATGCGGCAGTGACATGCAGAACAATTTAATACTAGGTGGCAATATCACTATAAAAACTTAAACAAGACAACGAACTGTCTTCAATTCCTGCGAGTATATCACGGTGCTTTTCAGCTAAACAGCACTAGGTTGTTGTTTTAATTACTTATTCCCTTTAGGGACATTTTTTGTTGCAGTGTTGTCTGTTTGCTACCAGGTTGTTGTTTTAATTACTTATTCCTTTTAGGGACATTTTTTGTTGCAGCGTTGTCTGCCTTTGGTCTTTTCTAATGTCAGATATATGCCACTGCTCAAAAAAGGTTGGGAAACACTGCTTGCAGGTGACGCTGACCTTAAATTACTCAGTGTCGTCTGGCGTTGACATTAGCGTAGCTGCCCAGTGACCACGAGAAGGATTAAGTGGTGCAACATGAATAAATAGTTTTTTTTGGAACTGCAGCTGGTTTTGACAGTGTAATTTGCCTGTTGCTTCACAGAAGACCTCATCTGCTCAAACGCTGGTGCTCTTTTCACTCCTGTGAATTTTCAATAGCAAATGTTCCTGGAATGTTGACAGGCCAGTCCAGCTGAACACCACTGTCTGTTATGTTCCTGAGTGGAATGACTGAGACGGGTGTCAAAGAGTCAAGGAGCAGATATTCCTCCAAGTTTTAAAGTAAGGTACAATTGTAACTTCACATAATTCTACCAATGCACCTTTATATCACAGATGCTAGGTTTTCACACCTTTTGTTAACAGGTTTTTTTTTCAACATTTTAGTTTTTTGCCCACATTGCCTTTCTCACTGAGAAGCAACTTTACTTGGACTCAGACCTTTGACTAAAATGCCAGCATATTGTGCCATTCCTGTCAGTGTTGTTATACAGTTTCACAGACATCAGTCTCAAACAAATGGTGTTATAGTAGCTGGACCACACCCGCCTCACACATTTGCCTCACACACACAAGGTGCTAGGTTTTGGCCCTAGAGGATCACCTACTTGACGGCTCCAAGGGGCAGCGTGTTTCCGCAGGTCTGCTGTTAACACAACAATTTCCCCAGTGTGGGTTCAAAAAGATTCAAATTATTTTCTTTGCAAGTGGGATGAGTAAAATATGATAGGTGGATTTTTGTTAGAATACTGCTGAAAAAGACAGTCTTCTTTTAAAGAAGACAAGGAAAAAGCAGAAAGGGAGCTCACAGATGGTTACAACGTGAAAAAAAAAACTACGCAGTAAAAACCATTTCATCATCCATTTCCTTCTCTGGAACCATTAGGATCAACTTAAGTCATCAATACAAAAAATGAACAAGTCACGAGGAAACAGAATGACAAACATGACACAAAAATGAAAAATGTTCTTAACACATTTCTTACATTGAGGTTTGAGATGTATTTAAGCTGAAGTTTGTATTAATGTACTGCAGTGTAATCACTTGTGACATCATGGGAAATGTGGTGGAGTTGGAAAGCACCAGAATGCTGGAGGATCTGCACCATCTGCCTGGATATAAATGTTTGTTTTCACTACACTCAATTGCTTTTTGCATCCAAGTGTGTGGTGCACGGCACAGTGTGATTCAGGGGAATATCCACGGGAAGTCCAAAGCTCACTTACAGAAAAGAAGAAAATGCCTTAAGTGCTACTGCAAAGTCATTGTTGACCTTTAAAAAATACATATGTTTGGTCCACGACCTTCTATTAGAGACTTGTAAGCGTACAGTCACCCAGGAGCGAGGCAGAGGGTGAGGCTGTCAGTGTTAACTAGAGAAACCACATGTTCACATTGGCCATGTTTCCACAAAGAGCGGTGTCGGGGCACTGAGGCAGCACTGCTCTCATGCTTTTCTAGTGTTAAGTCTGTTCACCAGGGAGCGCTGTCCCACAGCCTGCACGCACATGACTACTGTAGGTATCGTGACTCACTTCAGCCTCACCCAACCATCACCCGCCTCACAGGTTTCTCATGGCGATGTTTTAAACATTCCTGTTGGCCGTTTCTGTGGGAATCCAAGGTGTATCCAACTGTTGCCATGGAAACACTGCCATGTGAGCTGTGATTGGACGTGTTGTTCCATTTGTGTATTACTGAGGAGGACCTACCGTAACATTCCTAATTAATGGCAAAAGCTCTTCAAGCTTTTTGTTTTGAATGAAGTGTTGGACAGTGGATTACAGAGAGGACCATGTGCATTTGTCGAGACACGTCCATAAGTTCATACATATTTGCTGATGGATTTCTGTTAATTTCAAGTAAATAAATCCTAATTCAATCTCTGGAACAACTCATGACAATGAGCCTCTAGTGAAAAGTTAATGCTCTCTTACATTTTGCTTTATGAGCTAAGTCAGCACAGAGTAACTCAGCCTTTGTCGAATGTTGCTCATTTTTCTCTCCGTCTTTTTTTTTATGACAATACATCTGTCTTTTGGGGATGCGCGGCAGCCAGAGGCGGTGTGGAAACTGCACGACTCAGGGGAAGAATGAATTATTTTAAATATCAGCAGATTCCAGGGAGAAAATGTCCTGATGACAGTTACACAATGGGTTGTAAAACTAAACAATGATCCATAAATGACAACAAAATTCACCAATATTTGACATTTGTGGATATGCCTTACAAATGCTTTGAAAACCAGGCAGTCGTGTGATATAGGTCAGAAATGGACTTTCAGGAGGAGAGGAAAAACTACATCTGATTATTGTGTAATATTCTGTATCGTCTAAAGACATGAGTGAAGCGGCTACAATAGTGGGTCTCCGTCTGTGAGCTGATCCTGGTCCCTTCCTAACAATAACTTCACATATGAGAAAGGTCAAAGACCGACAGCAGTGAAGGAGTAAAGCAAAAATGCGGCTCAAAGGACGAGTCATCACGTGATCGACTGTGATTGGTGTATACGACAGATATGAAGACTAACTTCACCCTTCCCACAGTTATCACTTACGTGTGACTAAACGTGATCCAAGCACATGTAAGACTGCCAAAAAAAAACGTGATCCAAGCACATGTAAGACTGCAACAAAAAAAAAACCCAACCTTTTTACAAATCAGCTTTTCAATTAAAACGGCCGATGTTGCATTTTTTACATCTTTTATGAAATGCTGACTTAGATGAGTTAACATAATCTTTTTGGTCACACACACGTGTCATCTTCTAAGACTTAATCCTCCTTAGGGTTGATGGATGCAGTGGAGCCAATCCCAGTGGCCGTTGGCTGAGAAAGGGGGACATTACAGCGACACAGAGGGACAAACCATCGTTCACCTTCAGGCCTGAAGTGTCTAATTCACTGTAATAAGCTGTTTCTATACATTTAAAACATGTTTAAATCAGTTTATCTACATAAACGAGTCTAAACCAAATATGTTTTTTTCTATTTTTCATGTTGACTGTGCAACAACAAAAAATACTGCTAAAGATAAATAATCTGTGTGAAATAATTTAAAAATCCACCATTGTTTCAGTGACTCACTTGCAACGTATGGACTGGGAAAGGAGGAGCTCTGACTGTTATGAAACATTTTTTATCTGCGACTCCGAGCTTCTCTTCACTGATTTTTTTCATCTTGCCTTTACCCATTTGGTCCACTAGAGGGTGGTGCTCTCCTCAAAGAGGGCTTTGTGATGATGAGTGTTTTGTATGCAGCTGTACCGTCGTCACAAACACACAGGCCCACAGCAGCACCTCCCAAACCTCAGAGTGCTGAGATTCAGAGAGAGGAACGGGGCATGTTGTGTACAAGATGAGTCATGTGTTCATATGCTGCCGGAGGAAGCTAGCTTCAGCGGCAACATAATAAAAGAAAGCTAGGATAGCCATGAAAAGATTTATTCAGATTCATTTTTCTTCCTCCGTGTACTTTTAACAAATCCATCCATGACTTATCATATAAGTGAGCTCATTCAAATAAAACAGAAGCCTGTAGTTTTCCTCAATTTGCACTTCCCCTGTAGTGCTCTGGCGCCCTCCAGCGTAGGCTCGACGCACATTTCGAAAACCACCGCCTTACAACTGCATTGTTTTATTTGTTGATTTTAACCAGACTTCTTAAATACATCGAACTATTATGACCTACTGAAATACTACCACATCAACTGATAAATAAAAAGACAAGGTTCAGGTTTTCACACTGTTAATGTGGTTTACCACATTAATGTTTGACTATTGCTGTCCACCCATCCCAGTCTGCATCAAACATATAGACAGTATTGTACAACACCTGTTGAAAAAAATGATAGAGCACAGGTGGCTCAGGAACCACAGGTTGCAGATCTCTGAACTGTGGAGATTTAATACATCGCCGAAGAATCACTTTCAGTTTGTCCCTTTCATCAGAGGTCACCACAGCAGTAGTAGCAGTAGTTTCTAAACCGAATACCCTTTCTGAACTGGTACTTGGGCCTAGGTGGAATTGAACCCAGCCTCTCTAATCTCCTGGAGATTTAAGACATAAACAAAGCCAAATAGATCTGACCTTATGTGACCAACAACAAACAAAAGTAGAAAGAGACAAGTGAATGTTTTTAAAGCAGGGTATGCGGAGCAGCAATTGGCACAGACATCCTCAACAGGATATTTATGTCGAAATTCAAGAGTGGATCATCATGAATGATGACACAAAGGAAGAACCGTCCAATCAAAAGGTCAAGTTAGGCACTCTGACTCTGAAAAGGTCACGAGGTGGAATAGGCTGAAGACAGACCGTTCCAAAGGAAGGTGACACCTACAGTTGGTTGGCAGTATTGTAGTATTGACCATCGGGGTCATGATGAGGGTCCCATACCTGGGCAGGAGTCAGATGTCACACAGGGTGCGTTCAGTTTTGAGGACAAATT